TTTTGAGCTTCTAGAGTAAATTATAATTATTTTTAAGCATTTTCTTTGTCAAAAATTTTTAACAGGCAATTTAGTGATTTTTTGAAGGCCTTAAAGTTGTGTTAACACACTTCATTATCATTTTAAAAACTACTCTTTATTATGGAAATTCCAATCCTGTTCCTGGAACCAGTTTTAATATTTTTTCCTTTTGGTTTCTTTACATCACCTTTCTGAGAAAAAAACAGTCTTGGGTTTTTCATTTCTGTAGCTTTTGTAAAGAGATTCCAGCTAAAAACTACCTAAGATCCAAAACTGGACCATGCATATTTTGTTTTAGGCTAGGTTCTCTCCTCATGAGCACAGAAATCCCAGACACATTTCTAAATTTTCATGGCGAAAAGGAGACTTTAAATTAGCACACTGGGAGAGTGGGCTTCCATATTGGTTTGCCATGCGTCTCCCTTCCCCCACACCCTGCTTGCTCTGGGGAAAGTTTTCAGTAACAGACCTGGCCGAATATCTTTTCATGCTTAACAGATAAAGACAGATCTTAAATTTTTTTTTCCCTTTCCAAAGTAATAACTAGCACTTAAGCTTATCTAAGTCAAAATTTGGTTATAATAAGATGTTCTTTGGTAATTTTTAAACAAAACTTTAAATAGACTTTCTTTGGGAGAGTGTGTAGCTCTGCCCTCTCCTGCCACCTTTGAATCTGTCTGCACCAGAGGTGGTTTCAGCAGCGGGGATTCATTTCTTATTACAGATTTTAGATTCCAAATACAAATTAAGATTTTAATTTGAACAAGAAACCATATTAAAGATGACCACGGCACTCTTTTTTTCAGCCTGATTTTCAAAAGTACCATTAGATATTCCAATTTCTTTATAATTTTGCCTTTTGACCAAATTTTCCCCCATTATAATATGACTTAAACACAAAGTATCACTCACACACTTACGGATCTGTGGGGTTCCAAAGCTGACATGGGTTCTATGCACAGTTAATTTTACCACCATTCTGGTTTTTTCACTCAGGCGAATCCTTCTTTCTCCGGAAGTGTTCCATTAATGTTTGTATTTCCAGGGTTAAGCCCCAGGTTGGGCACCATATGCTCGAGTTCTTGGTCCCACCATTACAAAGGGGCTGATGCATAGATTAAGAAGGAGTCCAAAGATGAAAGATAATTTTGAAAGCTATTGGGGGTCAGAGGATCTTCAGGTAAAGGAACTGAATACTCCTCCTTGTCTAAGGAACCCATGATATTTAACACAATTTGTCCTAAGGCAAGGTGGAGGTATACACTTCAAAAGGGTAAGGCATCAAAGGGTACAGAAGCATTGTTAGTTTGGGGAATAGCCTACAGCTGTTCAGGTGTTTGGCCAACAGGAGGCAATACAACGCCCTGAGCTGTCTGGCAGCAAGTGATTATTCTATTCAGGTTTTGGGGAAGTGCCATTTAGCCTTTTCCAACAGGTGAACTACATATTGGCTCACCCTTGTTGAGCCGCCCAAGCTTCTCCAACCTTTTGATGAAACTCTTGTAATTATCACATGCTAGAATTGATTCCTGGCAGAGTCCCCACACTCTGGCCCCTCAGGATGGCAAGGGGGAGCACTGGACAGTGAGTCTAGCTGGCACATGCTCTCTCACAGGAGGAGGTTATAGCTGGTGCATTACCCTGTCAGCAGTGATCAGCTGCAACAAAGAGACATGGCTTTTGCTGTGCTCCCAGAGCAGGCTGCAGAGAACAAAGCAACAGCGACAGGTGTGTCAGCACCACGCCTTTCCTGCAATGCCTATTTTCAAGCCCTCCCCCCACAAGGCAGTCAGTCTGGGTTTCTTACTCTCCCGCTACCACTCCCCAAGGCTGGGTTCATTCGGGGCACGTGGGCTAAGGCCTCAGCGCCCCAAGCAGGCCTGCACTGAGATCCCCTCGAGCTCATTGCCCTCAGTCCCACCTGTTCCCTGTCCCTGGCTGCTCACGGGTGCTGTGGAGGCAACTGGGCTGCCTGGCTCCGGAGGCTAAGACCATCCATTCCTCCCAGTAGGACACATGCTGAGGGTGTTGCTGTTCTGTGGCCTGGGGCCTTCCCTGGGGTCATCCCTATACCCAACTCCCCACTGTAGCAGAAGTTGTGGGTCCTCTCCCTTCCATCCTGACTGTTCACCTCCCACCTGCTCCTGAGGACGGGAGAACAGCTCGCCCTCTGGTTTCCTCCTGAGGCTTAGGCTCTGGTCTCCAGAAGGCTCTGTCCTGTTTCTGCCACAGCAGCTGTGGCAGAAGCCCTGACCATCGATCCATCTCCGCAAGGACCAGCCAGAGCCCGCTGCGGGCCATGCAGCTTTCTGGGGCCACTGAGCTGGCTTAGTGTGTCCAGCTGGACCTGCGAGCCGTGGCCCTCAGAGCATGACGGCTCCCCCTGAACTGAGAGGTGTGCCTGCACAACCTCAGTGTGAACCCCCACGAAGCTCCAGCTGTCATGGTGGGACTGGCTTCACAGCTCTGTCACCCCACTTTCCCACCCCCCTGCAGCTGCTTCCTGGATTCACATTCCAAACAAGGTCCTGGCAATAACATCCTTTACTTGGGACCCCACCTGAGACAGCACCCCTTCTCAGAGCCCTAGGGGAGCCTGCTGCACTGACTTCTGGGGGAAGAGCAAGGGGGTCGGAGGCAGGATATGTTTGTGTGTGGGGGGAGCAATCGTGCATTAATTGTTCAAAATATTATGGAGGATCTTGGAAAACTCGGGCGACTCAGGCTTTTGCTCTATGCCTGGCACTGCGTTCTGTGTTGTCACAGGCATTATTCCACCTGGTCCTTCCAGAGCCAAGTGACCTGCTCTCAGAGCCAAGGAAACTGGGTCCAGGGGACCCCCAGCCAGTGGGCAATGAGGGTCAGGAACTCAGGTTCGGTGGTCTTGGGGAGCATCATGAAATTCCTCAGCTCGTAGGAAGGATGCAGCTCTGTGGTGTCAGACATAGTCTTCCACTATATGTCAGCGCTGAAGAATTCTAGTAGCCACCTACTAATCTTTAAAAATGTGTCTTCAAGTCTTTCCTTTGAAAAGTAAAAAATCTCTCTCTCTCTCTCTCTCTCTCTCTCTCTCTCTCTCTCTCTCTCTCTCTCTCTCTCTCCCTCTTGGCAGGTGGCATGTTACTGTGAGATCTATAGTGTTAGATGAGTTTGTGAGGAACAGAGAATGGGAGAGATGGTCCCAGGATAAAAGAATATTCATGTGGCACCTGTCAATCACTGCGGTGTAAATACTCCCCATGTGGCCAGTTCCAGGCTAGCAACATAACATCACAGCATCCAAAGTTGGGGAGAGGTACCACACCATTAGATGGTATTTCCACTATAATGATACAATCAATGTAAATAACCTCAAGAGCATCGAGAATGGCAAGTTGTAATGAAATAATTAGTAAGTGATGAGCTTTGAGTGTTTAGTAACCTATTCCTGTGGTAAAATTTACATAACATTAAATTTGACATTTTAGCTCTGTGAAGTGTACAATCAGGGGCAGTACACTTACAGCGTGCCGCCACCACCTCTATCTGGCCCCAGAGCATTCATTCCGTAACCCCACAAGGAAGCCCTGTGCTCAGCAAACAGCCATTCCTCATTCTTCCTACCCCTGGCAATCACCATAACCTGCTTTTTGTGTGTCTATATTTTTGCCTATTCTGGGTTTTTCAAATAAATGGAACTATACATATGTGACCTTTGGAGTCTGGCTTTTCCAACTCAGCATCATGTTTTTAAGGTTCATTCATGTTGTAGCATGTTTTTAAGTTTTTTTTCCTCTTTTTATGGCTGAATAATATCCCAACATATGGATATAATGTATTTTGCTTATTTATCCATCAGTGGATGGATATCCGGGTTGATTTTGACTTTGGGCTATTTTGAGCTATGATAGAAGGCAGGTTTGTATTTGAATACCTATTTGATTCTTTTGAGTGTGTCCCCGAAAGTGGGATTGCGGGTCAAGGAGTAGTTCTATCTTCACCTTTTTAGGGAGCTGCCACATTGTTCTCCATGTGGCTGCACCGTCTTACATTCCCACTAGCAGTGCAGAAGGGCTCCCATTCCTCCCCGTCCTCGCCAGCACTTGTGATTTCCAGGTCGTTATTATGATTCCCACCACCATGCTAGCCGGTGAGGAGTCACATCTCATGGCATTTTGTCTCCCATTTTTCTAATGACTCGTGATACCGAGCATCTTTGCATGTACTTGGGCCATTTGTGTATTTTCCTTGGAGAAATGTCTACTCAAGTCCTTTGCTCAGTTTTAAATCGCGTTATCTTTTTGTTGTTGAGTTGTAAGAGTCCTTTGTCTTTTCATCTCCTTGATGTGTCCTTTGATGCTCAAACTTTTTAATTTTGACGAAGTCCAATTTATCTCTTTTTATTTGTTTGTGAATTGCTCATTCTTTTGGTGTCACATCTAAGAATTGGTTGAAAAATCCAAATTCATGAATGTTTACTCCTCTGTCTTCTTCTAAGAGTTTTATAGTTTTAGCTCTTACATTTAGGTCTGTGATACAGTGTGAGTTCATTTTCGTATATGGTTTGAGGTAGAGGTTTCACTTCATTCTTCTGCAGGTGACATTCAGTGGTAGTACCTTTTAATATGTTATTTAATTGTAAGTTTATGTAATATAACTTTTAATTATGGCCATGCTTAACAATTGGCTTGCAAAATTCCTGAAAACTTAACCATCAGCTCTCATGAGCCAGTGTGAACCGGTCTGAGCTGGCTCCTGCATGCCACTGCCTTTGCCATGTGAGCTGCCCAGCAGGTCACCACCATTCTCAGAGCCTCACTTTCCCCTTTCCTGGTGTGAGGATGAGAGTATTTTCTTGGGGATTGCTGTCAGGCTGCAGTGGGTGTGAATGCCTGGTGGGCAACAGGGGGAGTATGCGTGTGAGGAGAGACAGTGCCCACGGTAAAGTCTGGTTTTGCCCGCAGGTTACCTCGCATCCTGGGCCACACAGACCATGTGGGATGGAGGTGCCAGAACTCAACCGCCCGGCCTCACCTGCCAGGGATCAGCCAGCTCTTGCCTCTGGCACCCCTGGAACCCCAGGGCGGCAGGCCTCGCCACACCTGACTCTGGGACCCATCATTTTGCCGCCAGAGCAGAGCCTGGCGCCCACCGTGTTCCTGAAGGCGCTGCCCATCCCACTGTACCACACAGTGCCGCCCGGGGGTCTGCAGCCGCGTGCTCCCCTGGTGACGGGCATAGATGGGGGCAGCGTGCCCTTCCTCCTCAGCCCCCTACTGCAGCCTGAAGGCCCTGGCCCCGCCCAGGCCGGGAAGCCAGTGACCCCGACGGTCACTGTGAACATCGTGAGCACGCTGCCCGTCCTGTCGCCGGGGCCCGCGCTGGGCAGCCCCGGGAAGGGGCGCACAGCCGGCAAGTACGTGTGCCCACACTGCGGCCGGGACTGCCTGAAGCCCAGCGTGCTGGAGAAGCACATCCGCTCCCACACCGGCGAGAGGCCCTTCCCCTGCGCCACCTGCGGCATTGCCTTCAAGACCCAGAGCAACCTGTACAAGCACAGGCGCACCCAGACGCACCTCAACAACGCCCGGCTGTCCGTGGGCTCCGACGGCGCGGGGGGCAGCCTCCTGGAGGAGGGAGACAAGGCTGCGGAGACCCCCGGGGCAGCCGGCAGCGGGGACAGCGGGAGCCTCGGTGGGGGTGACGGGGCTGGATCAGAGAGACCCCTTTCTCCGGGTGTCCAGGGTTCTGGGCACTGCCTGGGGCCCGCCACGCACCTGTCCCCGACTGCCACGAGCCTGGATCTGAAGTCGGAAGCCCTTTTCTGTCCGGGGTCTGCACCGGACGGCAGAGAATTCCCTCTGGACTCTCCCCGCGCGGCTCCCGCTGGGCTCCCCCTGGCCAGCCCTCAGCGCGGGCCTAGGCCGCCGGAGCAGAGGTCTCCCGCCGCGGGCAGGGCGGCCCTGCAGCCACCGGCCCGGGCCGCAGAGAAGCCCCCGGATGCCCGGGCCGCGGAGAGCCGGCTGCGAAAGTGTGAGAGCACCGACTCGGGCTACCTGTCCCGCTCCGACAGCTCGGAGCAGCCACCGGCCCCCGGCAGCCCCACACACGGCCTGTCGGATCCCGGTGTGGAGACCCCGAGGGAGGCCGCCCCACGGCCGGGGGCGCCCGGGGCTGAGCGCGGAGGGCAGGAGCCCCGCCTGGAGCTGGAGAAGCGGCGGCTGGAGGAGCGCATCGCCCGGCTCATCTCCCACAACCAGGCCGTGGTGGACGACCCGCAACTGGACCACGTGCGGCCCCGCAAGACGGTGCTGTCCAAGCAGGGCAGCATCGACCTGCCCGTGCCCTACACCTACAAGGACTCCTTCCATTTCGAGATCCGGGTCCTGGAGCCGGGACGCAGGAGGCCCGGGGCGCCCGGCCCCGTCCGCTCCCACGGCGCGGCCGCGGACACGGCGCGGCCCCTGCTCTTCCACTCCGTCCCCACGCAGCTCTCCGCCGCCGTGGAGTGCGTGCCCGTCACCAGGAGCAACTCGCTGCCCTTCGTGGAGGGCACCGGGCCGTGGCGGGAGCCGCGGGACGCCCGTCGCGGGAGGCGGAGGCCTCTGAGCCCCAGGCCTGTCCCTGCCCGACCCGGGGAGGCCCCCAGCAGTCACCCCCGGGCCCTGGTCAGACAGGCGGCGGTGGAGGACCTGCCCGGTCCCGCCCCCGGGGAGACCGAGACCCCCGCCGCCGAGGACCGGGATGGAACGCGAGCTGCCGCCCGGGAGGGGCTGGCGGGCAGGGGCAGGGCGGCCGCGAGGAGGCCCGGCCCGAGGAAGGCCCAGCCTTTCTCCCAGGAGAAGTGGCAGGTGTACGGCTGCGAGACCTTCCAGCGGCTCTACCAGCGGGGGAGCCGCCCGCGGGGCAGGGGGGCCCGGGGAGCGGGCGCGGACTGGGGCGCAGAGCCGGACCTGCCGGTGCTGGAGGAGGCGGTGGGGGGCGAGGGCGCAGCCCCGTGCCAGGACAGGAGGACCCCCGCTTGTGCGGACACCTCTGTGGGGGCCAGGCCAGAGCCTTGGGAAGGCCCACCAGCCGCAGAAGGCTTCTTGGGGACCAAGCCCGCCGCCGAGCAGGGGGAGCCGGGGGCCAGTGCCAGAGGCCGTGAAGAGCCTGGGGCGGGCGGGGTCCCAGCACCTCCCGCCCTCAGCAGCAGAGAACCCCGGGGTCCAGAGCTGGGGTGTCAGCTGCCCCCAGTCCCTGGTCCCCTCAGAGGCGGGGACCTGGAGGCTCCCAGGCTGGTTTTGCCAGACCCTAAACTGGAAGGTGGCCCCGGGAGTGGCGGGGACGCCGAGAGGCCCTGGCAGCAGGCCCTTGAGGTCCAGAGACGGCCCAGCGGGAGCTCCGGGGAGCCCCCGCCTGCTGGGGACAAGCTGCCCTCAGAGAGGAAGAAGCTGCGGGTGGAGCAGCTGAGCTGCCCGGAGCAGCTGGGGTCTCTGGGAGGGGGAGACCAGCCCCTCAGGGGCCCAGCGCAGGACAGCTCCCCACCCTCCTTGGACCGGGACAGTGACTCTGGGGATGGCAGGAGGACCTCTGGCACACCGTTCTCTGTGCCCTCCGTGGTCCCGCGACCGGCGGGGCCCAGGCACGAGGCGCCTGTGCATGGTCCTGCAGCTGGAGCCCCCTGGGGGGCCCCCCCCCTGGCGGCTCAGCCTCCGGACACCACCTTCCCCCCCAAGTACCTGCTCCGGTTACCGCAGAGAGAGACACCGCAGCAGCCGCCAGGCGCCCGGGAGCCGGAGGGCAGCCGGGACCCCCTCTGCGGGAACGGGCTGCCCCAGGACCTGGCCTCCGCTGCGGGGCGAGGGCTGGGGACCCACCCCGCCCCAGGCCCGGCCCTGAGTGGAACCAACAACTTTGGGGAAGACTCCAGCTGGCCCAGGCTGTGGGGCAGGAGAAAGGGGGTACCAGGAGAAGAGAAAGGAGATTTGGACACCAGCACCCCCGCAGCCGGGGCCTCTCTGGGCTCCAGGGTGGGGCCCTCCCAGGAGACGGCCTCTGCCCTGTCCACCCCGCCTTGTGGCTCCGGGAGAAGTGAGGCCCGAGACGCCGGACAGCTCTGTGTGGGCAGCACGCGGGCCAGTCTCCACAGCCCATGGACGCTCGGCAGGGAGGTGGCGGCGGGGCACAGCCCCTGCTGCCCCCTCGATCCCAGCTCCGTCGTCCTGGTCCCCCCGCCCGCAGGCTGGCCTGCGCTGGCCCGGAGCAGGACCTCCGAGAGCTCCAGCCTCTGCGGGCCCCAGGGCCCCTTCCCCTCGCTGCAGGCCGAGCCCCGGCTTACCTGGTGCTGCCTGGACGGCAGCCTGCCCCTGCCCGCGGAGCGGAAGGAGAGGGCCGCGTCTGTGACCTGGGCGCCGTACCGCCCTGGGAGCAGTGCCCCCACCCCGGGTGCAGAGGCCGGGCTGGTGAGCGAGGCGGAGTCAGGCCGAAGGACCAGGACCAGCCCTGCAGAAGGAGGGGAGACGCAGCCGTGGAAGGTAACGCAGCTTTGCCCCGGGCCCCGGGCAGAGGGCGCTGCCAGCGGGTAGGACATGCCATGATGGAGAAGCATCTGCCTCCGTTAGAACGTCGCCCCAGCCTGTTCTCGAGGGACGTGGGCTGCCACGCCGGGGTGGGGGCAGGGCAGAACAAAGGCCCCAAATGCCAAACCAAAGAAAACCATGGGGGAAAAAATTTCAAAGGAGGACTTAATTGTACCCAAGACTCTGGGTGAGAGAGTTTCCCTAACTAGACCCCAACGTTAACTCTGGGCTTCCTGGTGACAGAGGCAACATGTGACATGAGTGCTGCGTAAGGACCCTCTCTGGCCGTCTAAGATTATCTGACGATAAGCCAGAAACTCTTATTGCGGGATGGACTCCAGACAGGGGCTGGGGGAGTCCCCCACCTGGTGATCGAACAGTTAGTCCACAGTCACAGGCCCATTGAGAGGGACCCCTCGCCTCTGGCTTTTGCGGTGGGGGGTGTTGTCCTATTCTGGAGTCTCAGACGGGGCAGCAGACGAGGGTGCGGGGACCTCAGTGCCAATGTCACTGTGAGGACAATGACAGGCCGGGCCCAGAGCCTGGCAGGCTGGCTCCCAGGTGGGGGGGCGGAGCCATGGGAGAGGCCACGCTTCTTCCTCCTGAGACTGGCACCAGACAGGGCATTCCAGGCCTGGCTAGCCTTCCTTCTCCGAGACAATGCGGTGTTGGGCGCAGGGATTCCTGGGGAGGGAGAACTGGGGGGTGGAGAGGAGCCGGCCTTTAGGCTCCCCAGGCCTCCAGGAACACAGGCCCCTAGGCTTTCCTCTGGGGACCCAGCAGCACTCCGAAGGCCCCGCCCAGGAGCGCTCACCCTGTTTGGCGAGGCAGCACTGCCGTGCCGTGACTCCCCCAGAGAGGAGATGGAGCCCTTAGGGTCGTCCCCACCAGAAGGGCTCTGAGCAATATGATGCCAACGTGCCTGGTCCTTTCAGCTCTCCTGCCCAGCAGCCCCCGGGATGACAGCCGGAGGCCCGGGGTCCGAGCCGGGACGGAGGAGGGGACCGCCTCGGAGGAGGAGGAGGGCGAGGACCTGCCGGGGGAGCAGCAAGCAGAGAGCAGCGAGGAGGTAGGTGTGTGGCCACCGCTGTCCTCCGCGTGTGCCTGTCCTGTTGGTAACGGCAGACCCGGGTCCCACTGAGCCCCAGGAGAACAGCACACGGGGCCTCTGTGCTCCAGGGGAAGGGTGCCTGCCCGGGGCTGGGGTTGGGGGGACAGGACTCGGCTGGTCCCCACAGCCCTCTGGCTGTGCGGATTCAACGGCACCTTCCCAAGGCTGGGCCCCCGTGCACATTTGAAGTAGCTGGCTGGGACCACACCCCCCCCCCCCCCAGGTGAAGTCCTGATGAGAAAGCGTGTTAATTGTCACAGCTTTTACTGCTTTTTAATTATGCAAGCGGTGCAGGTCTTCTGCAGGAAATTAGAAGATACAGATGAACCAAGAGAAAACAATAACCTCTCCAGCGGAGACAGTCAGTGCCAGCATCACACGCCCTTGCAGACTGTTCTCTGCCACGTGCGCACACACAGTGCGCAGGCAGTGCGTGGCCTATGGGTTGTAATACCATTCTCTGATGGTCCTGCTCCTTTGTGCATAACCCGCTGTGCTGCCACCAAACTTCCGGTCTCCTTTCCGCACCATCTCCTCCTCTCCCACTTGGTGACCTGGTGCGGCGTCGCTGGCCCTTTCCCATTCTTTAATAGGACTCTGATCCATGTCCCTAAGACCCTCTGGCCCCAGCAGCCTCCCCTTCCAGGCACGCTCAGCCTCTGCACCCCACGACTGTCAGTCTTTGATCCGAAGCCTAGCTGTGCTTCAAGAGGCAACGCCCATTCCTGACTCTGCCCTGCAGCGGCTCAGCCCCCGTGGCTGCAGGCACCGCTTCTGAGGCCCTGGCCCTGCTCTGAGTGTCTGCCAGGACCGGGCGTCCCGAGTGGCCATCGCTGAGGGCTGTTCGATACAGGGCACTGCACCATGACACCCCACTTTTCTCAAGGGGAAACTGAGACACACAGAAGTCAGGTGACCTCCCAGGGGCCTGAATGCCAGAGAGCGGCCTGCCCCAGGGTTCCTGCCCGCAATGGGCACCAGAGTTGCCTGCAGTTTCCTGTGCTGTTGGGTGGAGCTCAGTGGGTCTGGGGGTGGGGTTGAAGGTCTGCTTTCCTGACATCCCTGGTGAAGCTGGTTTGCTGACTCGCAGCATCCTGAGGAGCCACGTTTCTGCCCAAACCACATCCTGTCCTTCCCAGCGCCCGCCATCTCTCTGACCCAATCTCCCGCCACTTTCTCCTTTTTAAAGACTGGGGTGGTAAATGGGGCTCACCCCAATAACCTCATCATCCTGCTGTGCCCACAATTACTCCTGCAAAGGCCTTTTTGCCATGGAAGGTAACATATTCACAGGACCTGGGGATTAAGGGCTGGGAAACATTCTTCTGCTTGTCACGCCAACCATTCATCTGTCCATCCATCCATCCATCCATCCACACACATGTGACTGTATGTATGCGTATAGATAGGATGTTCCAAAAATGTATATACTTTGACAGCTGATAACTCACTTAATTTTCACCCCTTTTCGGGTTTATTTGATTTGAAATAATAGGTGAAGCCAGACTAAGCTTTGAACAAAGGAAATTTATCGTAAAGTGCCACTAGACTATTTTTTTTTTATGGGGGACGCATAAAAGATAAAGTTTATAGCACAAAACTGGCAACAGTCAATGAATTGAGGGCACATAAATACCGGAAAAAAAATTATTCTTGATGTTTATGATTCTATTGCATCTCACTATCAGCAATGCCTGGACCAGAATGGTCATCAGTTCAAAAACATGGAAATGATTTTATATATATATATATAATTTCTATAGATTATTATTTTTTTTTTTAAATGTATTTTATTGATTTTTCACAGAGAGGAAGAGAGAGGGATAGAGAGTTAGAAACATCGATGGGAGAGAATCATCGATCAGCTGCCTCTTGCACACCCCCTACTGGAGATGCACCCGCAACCAAGGTACATGCCCTTGACCGGAATCGAACCCGGGACCTTTCAGTCCCCAGGCCGACGCTCTATCCACTGAGCCAAACCGGTCCCGGCATCTATAGATTATTTTAAATCTTCAAAATGAACTGAATGTTTGTAAACGCTGACTTTATAATCGTTCAAAGTGCATATACATTTTTGGGGTCACCCTGTATGTCTCAACTTATATATCCATCTCTACCATCATCAACTTGTGTGTTCTCTCCTCAAGAAAGAAGCCTATATTTTTAATTCAATTTCCCATTTTACTTCAGTTGTCTTAATGTTCTATAGAAAATAAAATATTACCCTAACCAGTTTGGCTCAGTGGATAGAGCATCAGCCTGCGGCCTGAAGGGTCTCAGGTTTGATTTCAGTCAAGGGCATGTACCTTGGTTGCCAGCACATCCCCAGTAGGGAGGCAGTTGGTGTTTTTAACTCTCTATCCCTCTTCCTTCCTCTCTGTAAAAATCAATAACATATATATTTTTTTAAATTAAAAAAAGAAAAAAGAAAGAAAAAGAAATATTGCATTTGAGATCCCCCTCCAGGCCTTTGCTCATAGAGAATGATGAGCTTTCTGTATCAGAATATCTGTCCTTTTTTTCTTTTGTCTTGTTTTGGAAAATAAAACAAAATAAAATACAAGAAAGCTCAGAAAACATATGAAAGACTCCTGGGTAATGATCCAGTGTGAACAAATGTTAACATTTTGTTATATTTGCCTCTGAGACTTTAAAAATACCACATAAACTATTACTTTATACATTAAATGTTATGCAAAATAAAAGAAATAAAACACAGAAGCTAATGCTGTAGTTTTATGTATTTGGCACTAATTGTTTCAATCCATGTTCTCATACTTGGAAAATTGAGATATCCACTACTTGCATATAATAATGTTGATTTCGGTCTTTAAAATATGCTATATTTATTGTTCTGCCTGATTTTAAACATAGTGTTTCTGAAGATATAGCCATCCTGCTACATACAGCTCCAATTAATTCCCTTCATTGCTATAGAGTGCTCATCCCATGAGTACAGCATTTCATTTATTTCCAAAATGTTTGACTTACTTTGCAATGAACATGTGTATGCATGCCTCCTTAGGTGTTCTAAGAAACATACTTAAAAGTGGAATTGCTAGACGATAAAGTAATCACATTTTCAACTTTACAAGTTGTTACCAAGTCCCTCCACAATGGCTGTGCACTTTCCTCCTCTGGGAGCAAGCGGCAGCCCTGCGCCCACTTTCTTACTGAGGTCTGTTATTAGCAGATGTTTAAGGGCTTTGCCCATCCAGAATTGTAGGATTCTGTACCTATTTTAGATCTGTCTGTACATATAGATCTCTTATATACATATGTATACATATTCTGTACCTATTTTAGATCTGTCTATATTATTTGCCTGTTATATACATATTAGAGGCCTGTTGCATGATATTCATGCAAGAAGAGGCCTTCCTTCCCCTGGCTTTGCTCCCAGCTTTCCAGGAGCCTGCAAATCTCCACTCCCTGCCAGAGTACCACTCCTATAGTTTCCCCTAATGCCCCCACTCCTCCTTATAGGAGGTGTCCTACCCCTGTCAGCCACTTCATGCCTGCACATGCAAATTAACCCACCATCTTTGCCGGGTTAGTTTGCATACTCACTCCTGAATGGCTGTGGGTGTAGCAGAGGTATGGTCATTTTACATGTGTGACTATTATTAGGTAATATGTAGAGAGGTCTGTGTTACTTTTATTTATTCCACTAGAGGCCTTGTGCATGAAATTTGTGCCCTGGGGGGGGGGTGTCCCTCTCCAATCTGGGACCCCTCAGGGGATGTCTGACTGCTGGACAGTCAGACATCCCTCTCTCAATCCAGGACTGCTGGCTCCTAACCACTCACCTGTCTGGCTGCCTGATTGCCCCTAATCACTCTGCCTGCTAGCCTGATTGCCTCCTAACTGCTCCCCTGCCAGCCTGATCATCCCAATGCCCTCCCCTGCAGACCTGGTCACCCCCAACTGCCCTTCCTGCAGGCCTGGTCACCCCCAACTGCCCTCCCCTTCCAGCCATCTTGTGACAATGTGGGGGTGGCCATCTTGTGAAAACAGGAGGGCAGCCATCTTGTGATGTGAGGGCATGAGGGTTAAATTTGCATATTATCTTTTTATTATATAGGATTAGGAATCCATTGGGCTTTTATGATTTATGGATTGATGTCTACCTAGAAATTTCTCAAACCTCATTCCTCAAACATTGCCCTTGCCCTGTTCTCTCTCTTCTCTTTCTGGAACACTAAAATAATGTAGATGTCCTCAGTCTTCCACACCTCTTTTTTTTTTTTTTTTGTAAATCCTAATTCAAGGACATTATTCACTGATCTTTAGAGAATGGAAGAGAGAGAGAAAGATAGAGAGAAATATCAATGTGAGAGAAACATATCAATTGGTTGCCTCCTGTATGTGCACTAACCAGTGTCTGGGCTGGGGAGAAGCCTGCATCTGAGATTTGAGCCCTTGACTAGAACCAAACCCAAGATCTTTTGGTCCATAGGCCAATGCTCTATCCAGTGAGCCAAACCAGCTGGGGCTTTTAACAACTTTGTCTCTCTGTGCTATAACCTCCATGCTTTGTTCAGATCCATCATTAAAATTTTACTACTTTTCTTAATCCACTGACTTATTTTTTAAAAACTCTGTTGAAATATATTGAATTTCAATATTATACATAATTAAAATATACAATTTAATAAGTTTTGATATATGTGCACACGTGTGGAACCAATAACACCATCAGGATAATGAATGTGTCCATATCCCCGAAGTTCCCAGGAGTCCCTTTGTGATTCTTGCCTCCTGCCCACCTGGCACCCTCCCATCCCCAGGTAACCACTGATACACCTGCTGTCACAATAGTTTAGTTTACTTCTTCTAGAACCTTATAGAAATAAAGTTGTACAATATGTGGTCTGTTTCTTGGGGGAGGGGACATTGGATTTTCAGGTCCATTCATGGTGTTGTGTGTATGAATAATTCATTCCTTTTATTGC